AATTTTTTCATTTTAAAAAGTTCTATTTGGGGCCAGACACAGTTGCTCATGCCTGTAATCCCAGCCCTTTGGGAGGCCAAGGTGGGAAGATTCCTTGAGGCCACGTGTTCAAGAACAGCATGGGCAACAAAGTAAGACCCGCCCCCATCTCTTCAAAAAAATCAAAAAGTTGGCCAGATGTGGTAGTGTTCGCCTATCGTCCCAGCTACTTGGGAGCCTAAGGCAGGAGGATCACTTGAGCCCAGGAGGTTGAGGCTGCAGTGAGCTATGCTTGCACCACTGCACTTCAGCCTGGGCAACAGAGTGAGACCCTGTCTTGGGGGGGAAAAACATCTGTTTGGTTCTCATTTTAACCTGCCTGATCAGTCCTAATAGTTGTTTTATTACTTGCTCATCTTTAAAATTCAGTGCTAAAAGTTTACCAAAGTGTAATACACTGATATTTTATGGTCTGTATCTGGTGATACCAATATCTTAAATTCTTAGGAGCCTAAATCCATCTTGTTTGTATTTCTGGTGGCTCTCACTCAAAGTGCTTTACTTTTCTTCTTTGTTTGGGATTTTAATTTTCATTTTTTAAGACAGGGTCATGCTCTGTTGCCCAGGCCTGAGTGCAGTGGCACAGTCACGGCTCACTGCAGCCTTGATCTCCTGGGCTCAAGCAGTCCTCCACCTCTCAGCCTCCCAAGTAGCACAGTGCTGGCCACAGTCAATACTCAATATATGTAGATTAAATGAATGAATCAATGTATGGGTGAATCTTCATACAGTCCAACAGACGAGGAAAACTAAGTAACTTGTTTAAAGTGACTCACCAAGGGAGTAGTAAAGCTAAGATTTGAATCAAGTCTTGTGTGTGACATCATAGTTCATACACTCAAAACGATGCCATTCCCATGGTTCTGGGGACTCAGTGGCTCTACAGAGGAATCTGCTAAGCTATCTAGATAAAGCCACCAGGAATGCTTAATAACCCAGGGGCTGCTGGATTATACTGCTACCAACTCTTCTCTTCTGAAGTCACTCAAAGATACCAGCTATGAGGTCCCAAGAAATGGCTCATATGTCACTTTAGGAATAGTCTTATCTTTCCTAACTTGGCTTTCATTCTGGCATGTATTTGCAGAGAAGTGGCACATGGCATCATGTGGCATTGTGGTTCAGTCTTCTTTGTAAAACTGGTTTAATAATAATAACGCCTGTGTAATTGGGCTCTGAAAAGTAGATCAGTGTAGGCACGTAAGTGATTGGAACAGCACTTGGCATGTAGGAAGCACTCAAGAAATGTTAACTAATGTTATTATTTACTATGAATTAGAAATAAGAATGTGTATATGTTGCCGGCTATTTTTAGGGGTAATGTAACTATCAGAATATCTTGGAGCTGTCTGAATGCTACACACTTTAAAAGCTTGACATCATTCCCTATACTCCATAATGACTTTACTAATGACTATAACCTCTAGTGATCTCTTGTTCCCCAGATTTTTGTCTTCTCTCCATAATTTCACATCCAATTACACTGTTTTTTAATTGTGTGTCACACAGTTTACCCTGTGGTTCACTGGAAGGATATTTTACCTCCTGCAGCATCTACAATCATGCTGGGCATTGAACAGAAGGCATTCCTGTCTGGAGTCTAGGGAAGTGTCCTTTACCTCTCAACGTTGTTGAAAGTTGGCAGAGACCTGAAAGCCTCATAGCAAACATGCTGCAGGGTTGGCAGGTTCCCTTCCCACCCTCCTCCCTCAAGCTGGGAACTGCTAAACCTTTGGCAGTGAGACATGGGCTGGGAATTTCTCTATGCAACACCTTCACTGAGAGCTATTAGCATGATGTGCCATTATTTTCCTTGGGTTGGATTTTCTCAGGAATACAGCAGCAGGTGCTCCACAAGCTGCACATGATTGAAACAGGGAATGTTTGGCAAGAGCCTGGTGTGAAAATCGGCAACTGAAAATAGGCTACAGGGTGTAGCTCACTCAGAATCACTGTTAAGAGCTAGCAGCGCTTAAAGCATCTATCAGTTTTGCCATCCAGGGGATGAGATAACTGTTGAGTGGAAAGTGATCACCTGCGGAAAACAGGCAGATGGAAAGGGTACAGAGAATGGTGCAGGTACCGGCAAAATGGAACGAAACATTGTTAAAAATGCACACTGCTGCCAGGCTCAGTGGCTCACGCCTGTAATCCTAACACTTTGGGAGGCCAAGGCCGGCAGATCACCTGAAATCAGGAGTTCAAGACTAGCCTGGGCAACACAGTGAAACCCGTCTCTACAAAAATACAAAAAAATTAGCCAGTTGTGGCGTTTGGAGGCTGAGGCAGGATAATTGCTTGAACCCGGAGGTGAAGGTCGCAGTGAGCCGAGATCGCGCCACTGCACTCCAGCCTGGGAGACAGAGTGAGACTCCGTCTCAAAAAAAAAAAAAAAAAAAAAGTACATTGCTGGGCCCTGCCCCAGACCTACTAACCAAGAATCCTAATGGGCTCCCGGAATGTGCATTTTTACAGGATCCCGTAGTGATTCTCATGCAGTTGCCCTTTCAACCGCATGCTGAGAAATGGTGGCTTCAAAGCAGGAAGCAAGGCAACCAGCAACATCTACTTTATGAGGGCAGTCTCAGGTGAGGACAAACAAGAGGGAGCAAGCGACACAAGAGCTATGGGCCGGGACAGCCAGGACCCAACTCAGAGGCAAATCAGTGATGTACAGAGGCCAATCCTGGGCCAGGCAGTTCGCCTTTGCTTTCAACCCCTGATGCCACATTCCCACTGTAACCATCAGGACTCAATCAGGAGACAGAAACTACATAATTACTTGAACAGGAAAGAAAGAGGCGGTGGCTCATGCATATAATCCCAGCACTGTGGGAGGTCAAGGCAGATGGATCACTTGAGATTAGGAGTTCAAGACCAGCCTGGTCAACATGGCAAAACTCTGTCTCTACTAAAAATACAAAAATTAGCTGGGTGTGGTGGTACACATCTGTAATCCCAGCTACTCGAGAGGCTGAGACGGGAGAATCACTTGAATTTGAGAGGTGGAGCCAAGATCACACCACTGCACACCAGCCTGCCTATATTAACCATAATAAGAGGTTACCAACAAAGGGAGTAAGAGAACTCTAAGAACACAAGAGTAAACCAAAAAGTATCTGAGAAGAGTCTCCATCAATTTAGATGTTTACTTTCGCCAAGGTTAAGAAAATGTCTGGACGAAAAGAACGTGGAATCACAGAAAGTCTGTGGTCTCTGCCTTTCTCCAAAGATGATTTTGAAAGCTTTAATATTTAAAGGGGAAAAGTGGGGTGGAGGGGAAAGAGAGAGGGTCTGGTGATCCACATGATACTAGAAAAAAGGAGCAGGTAGGAGAATAGTCAATTACGTATTCATCTCACATCCAGTAAACTGGCATTTTACATTAGAAAGGGTAAACATAGAGGAGCTACCCATGGAAATATTTAACCTTGATCGCTAGTTCTCTGTTTGGGAACAAAAGCAAAGGCAGCTTCTTGCATGACTCAGCTTTGAGTTTAATTTTTCCTTTTGGCAGAGTGAATTAGGGTCCTGAGATTTTATTTTCCTTTCACATGGGCGTAACAGATGTAGAGAGAAGCCTCTACCTCTAGTTTGAGGCAGAACAGCGAGGAAGGAAAAACTCTGGAACAGCTCCCATCTATCAGGGTTAAGGAGCCAAACCTCACTGGAGGAGAATGGCGGCATTTTGCTGGATGGCGAAGTTTGCTGGGTGTTGTGCCAAGAACACTCACTGTGGTGCTGGGAAGCTGCCCGGGGGAGGCGCCAAGCTCTGCTGGCCATGGTGCACGGCAGGGTTGGCTGAAAAGATGTGTTTGTGTCTTAGGGCTGCCATAACAAATTACCACAAATGGGATGGCTTAAAACAACAAAATTTCATCCTCTCACAGTTCTGCAGACCAAAAGTCCCAAATCAAGGTACTGGCAGGGATACCCTCCCTCTACAGGCTCCAGGGGAGGATCCTACCCCTTTTTCCAGCTCTGATGGCTCCAGACATTCCTTGGTTTGTGGCAACATCCCTCCAAGCTCTGATAACCACCTTCACATGGCGTCCTCTCCTGTCTTTCTCTGTCCCTCTGTCTCCAAATCTCCCTCTCCTTGTAAGGACAGCAGTCACTGGATTCAGACCTATCCTAATCCAGTCTGCCCTCAACTTAACTTGATTGCATCTGGAAAGACCCTATATTCCAAATAAGATCACGTTCACAGGTTTTGAGTGGACGTAAATTTGGTGGTGGATATTATTCAACCTGGCACAGAGGAACACACAGGAACCATGAAAAAGAGCCTGTTCCTCTTTTATAAGGGCTAATTAAAAAAAAAATTTAAGAGCCCCTTCCTCCTTCAGGGTGCCTTCAGGACTATTGACTAATGAAGCTCACTATTGGGTTGGCTAGCAAGGGAGAAACGTTCCAGTACAACACGCAGGCAACCAAGGGTGGGTTTGGAGCTGAGCGGTAATAAGGATTGACAATTCACAGAGTCCACTCCTTCAGTTACTCGTTTCCATATGCACCACCCTTCTACACACATTTGAACTTCTGTGGGATCAACACAATGCCTCTGTTTCCAGCTAACAAGGTACAGCTCTCCTTCACAGAAGTGAAGGCGCTCTCACTGCTTCCCCCCAAATGAAATGCCAAGTCACCAGACCTACCACTGACCATATTAAATACTCTTCAAATTCAATCATAATCCTACCGAATGTCCTGCTACCTAGAAACTAAAGTGTAAAAGTAAACTCCAGCTACATGCGTATAAAATAGTGGAGAGAAGAGAGAAGAAGAACATCATTTTCATATACAAAGGCACATACATGTAACTAGCAGAGAAAAAACATACAAAGAGCATACAGTCTTTGTTTCTGTTACTGGTTATGACGTCACAGGTGGCTTCGTCCACCACTTCTTCCCTATTTCCCTTGCCCTTAGCCAGAACCCCAGTTCACTGATTTCTTTACCTGATGGTACAACACAAATCTTCATTCTTAATCCAAGTTATTAATCATTCTGTTGTTTTGTTGTTGCTGCTTTTGTAGTTTTCTTTGTTTTTTTACTGGACACAAAGTACCAAGAGGCACCTGAGAAAATCCTTTTGGTTCCAGACACAGTCCTTGTGTAAGCATTCCCACGCGGAGGAAGCAGACCTTCAAACCAGCACAGCTCAGTGTTGCTGGGACAAGAGGCAAGTAGGTTAATAATTATATTACTGAAAGGGGTCCCTCTCATTTTCACCCTTCATTCCCAACGTCATGTATTCTGGTTAAGGGAGAAAGAGCACCATATTCTGATCCCTGATTCAAAGCATAAACTGCATCCAGTAATACAGAACTCTACCTTTTCAGGGACTGTCTCCCGACTGGGACCATAATTAAGTCTTCAGTAAGCCATTTCATCTTTCAATGAGCCAAACTGTTTCCAATGAGTGAGAAGTTAAGCCCATTGATGTACTTCCTTTGCTATGAAATGAATTCCTTGATCAGGGAGTACCATGAAGGGGAATAAGACATTTGGTGAGTCCACTGATGGTGGCACTAGCCAAAGCCGCACACAAGGAAGATAAGTAAATCCATATCCAGAATATGAGCATATTCCAGTGAAGATGAAACTCTATGCTCTCTATGACGGAAAACGTCCAATGTAATCAAACTGCTACAAGTGGTTGGTCACCCAATGAATGGTGACATATGGAGGGCTCAGTATTGGTCTTGGCTATTTGTAGGTTAGGTATGCAGAAGTAGCATTAGCCAGGTCAGCTTTGGGAAAAGGAAGTCCATGTCATTGAGCCCATGCATATCCTCCCTCCCTGCCACCATGACTACTTTGTTCATGGGCCTATTGGCCCACGGCATTACAGTTATGAGCCACCACATCTAGCTAACACATGTATTACTAAAAACACTTTCTACTTTCTGTTCATCATATCCAATCAGCATAATATCAACGTTATTGTTGACTAGTGTGATGTTTTATAGAATGTCAGGATGAGAGGTGGACCTGTAGTATGACAGCAGAATTGAGGTATCTCCGACGCAAGACTATGAGAGTATACTGTTGGCCCTGCCAGACAAAGGTAGAATGTTTCTTCTTCTTTTTTTTTTTTTTTTTTTTTTTTTGAGACAGAGTCTCACTCTCTCACCCAGGCCGGAGTGCAGTGGCACAATCTCGGCTCACTGCAACCTCCACCTCCCTGGTTCAAGTGATCTTTCTGCCTCAGCCTCCTGAGTAGCATGTACCACCACGCTTGGCTAATTTTTTGTATTTTTAATAGAGATGGGGTTTCACTATGTTGGCCAGGCTAGTCTTGAACTCCTGACCTCAGGTGATCTGCCCGCTTTGGCCTCCCAAAGTGCTAGGATTACAGACATAAGCCACTGTGCCCAGCCAAGGCAGAATGCTTTTTGTAAGTTAACATGGAGAAAAAGGCATGAGTCAGGTCAAGAGCTGCACACTAAAGGCAAAAGGTTATGTTAACTGCCTCAGTAAAGATAGCACATGTGGAACAGCAGCTGCATTGGACTCAAGGAGTAACTACCTGATTAAATTTACAACAGCCAAGTCATTCTCCAAGATCCATTTGACTTCTGCACAGGCCAACAGTAAATTAAATGAGAATGAGAATGTGATAGAATTATCATCTGATTCTTTCAAGTCTTTGATTGCGCCATTAATCTTTGCAATTCCTCCAGGAACGTGGTATTGCCAGTATTTACTCTCTTAGTAGTAAGGGGAAGTTCCAGGAGTTTTCACGTAGCCTTTTCTGCCAACTGGCCCTCACTCTATGGGTCAGCGAGTCAATTTGGGGATTCTGGCAGTTGCCAAATAAGACTAATCCAACTATAGATGGTCCCTGACTTATGATGGTTCCATTGATGATTTTTTTTTCTTTTCCAATTTGGGTTGTCACCAACATTGATGATTTTTTGACTTGACGATAGTGCAAGAGTGGTGCACATTTAGTAGAAACTGTACTTCGGTACAGTATTCAATAAATTACATGACATATTCAACACTTTATTATCAGGCTTTGTCTTAGATTATTTTGCCCAGCTTAGGCTAATATAAGTGTTCTGAATATGTTTAAAGCAGGCTAAGCTAAGCTGTTATGTTTCACATTGGGTGGAAGGTTGGGTGTAGCATATGCATTTTGAGTTATGATATTTTCAACTTGCAATGGGTTTATCAGGATGTAACTCCATCATAAGTCAAGGAAGCATCTATACATTCAGGAACTAGCGAAATAGCCACTGGATGGATCTGTGGACCAACTGGGTCCATTATGAGTCAAACTTGAACTCAGATTCCATCTATCACCTGAACACCATAAGCCCTCACTTTCACTCGCGGGATACAGAGGTATCCTAGGTTTCCAGGAATTGGTTCAGAGCCAGTGCCCAGTAAACCCCAAAAGATCGGGGTTTACTTTTCCCTGGTATATAACCATTTGAGTAAATGGCTGCATTCATTTGGATGAAGGCTTGGAGGAAAATTTACAGTATATACTTGTGACAAAGGTGCAGGGTCCTTCCTCCAAGAGATCTGGTCTCCCTGTCAATCAAGAGGTTTGGGCTAGTGATATGACTTGTCTGGAAACTAGGTGAGAGACTATGTCTAGCCAGTGTGGCACTCAGGTGAGATTTTTGGCTACTAGACCTAGAGGTTTTTTTTTTTTTTTTTTTTTTTTTGTTAGATCAAACAACTCTCTAGTAGGCTGCCCATCTGTTTCATCCCTAGGGACACAATGGCCACTACCAAAGATCTTTAAAGGCCAACATATTCTAATTACTGGTATGTCCTGGCTTCTCTATAGGGTTGAGGTCTGTACCTTTAACAGTTAAGTCCTGCCACTTGGCCTCATCATCTCCACTAAAACTGGGGAGCCCAACTCAATGGTGGCATCTTCCATGATCATACCTGGCTTGCAAAGGAGAGCAATCACAGAGCTTTCCAAGGATGCAAGTGCTCCCTTGTCTAAAGTATTTCTCAATATCTAAGACAAAGGAGCATCTTCTGGTTCTTTTTGTGGGATATAGCTTTTGTGTTTGTGTCTATGGCATGCGGGTCAAGGTCACATTTGATCAATTCAGTCCAACATTTCTACCCCTCTAAGTCTTTGAGCGCCCCCCTCCACATCATGCCTTGGCATCCCAATAGTATTAACTATAGACTACTGTTGAGTTAAATCAATAAATCCACCAAATAAACTGTTAGAGTCACTTCCAATTGCATGAGTCAATACAATGTCTATAAATGCACACTAGTAAGTGGCTCCATACCTGATCTAGTACTGTATACAGCCCTCCTTAGTTTAAAACACTTAGAATCCACTTCCACACGTTCCACACATTAGCAAAGTATATGTAATTAGTATAATTATTTCATCGTGCAAGCTGTTTTATTCTACATCATAGTGTGTACCAGCCTACCTGAAGCATTAATGAGGTTTGAATCTAGTTAGGGTCAAGCGGCAATGGGGCAGAAGAAGGGGAATTAAATTCTGGTGGGTCTTGTAGAGAATGAGCCTCCCTTTTGAAGTTGTCTACCCCAGCTGAGGGCTTAGCAGTGTCTTCAAGCAAATAATAACTAGTGTCCCCAGACATAGGAGGACAAGCTACTTCCACTGCCAAGGAAGGCTCAGGGTGATGCGGGTGTTGAAGACTGTCAGTTATCTGGTCTAAGCAGAGTGCTTATTTCAAGTTTTGGGATTCCATTCCTTCCCAATTGATACCTTAACTTTCACAAGAGAAACCAATCTCGGAACTCAACCCACAAGGAGTAGTCAAATACTGTGGGCCACCTTGCACCAAAGAGCCAGCTGAGAAGAGCATACTAGAACCAGGAAAAACAGCTTCTTCCTCCTGTAAAGTTCCTCCAGGACCCTCTACTGATGAAGCTTACTGCCCATTGAGCCAAAAGGCAAGGGAGAAACCTTCCAATATTGCAAGTAGGGTAGTGAAGGGTAGGTTTGGAATGGAGACTAAATAGGTTGATAACTGGCAACACATTTTGTCTTCATTCCTTCTCCCATGGTCTCTACCACCACCTCCTGATAAAACCCCAAAAACTGCAAATAGAAATAACAAAATCAAGGCCCAAATGAGGATGCCCAGACCATTAAGAACATTTAATACTATATACTCGCATTTTCTAGGGTACCAACCATCTCAGTTTGCCCAGGACTGTCCTGGCTTTAGCAATTAAAGTCCTGTGTCCTGGGAAACTCCTCAGGCCTGGCCCAAACAAACCAGAACAATGTGTCATCCTACATGTGTCCTAAAAGTTTTCAAAATTTTTGTGCACAGAATCACTTGGGTACTTGTTAAAAATGCAGGTGATTCTGTTAAAAATAAAATGCAATGATTTGGCCAGGCACAGTGGCTCACGCCTGTAAACCCAGCACTTTGGAAGGCTGAGGTGGGCGGATCACCTGAGGTTGGGAGTTCAAGACCAGCCAGACCAACGTAGAGAAACCACATCTCTACTAAAAATACAAAATTAGTTGGGCATGGTGGCACATGGCTGTAATCCCAGCTACTCAGGAAGCTGAGGCAGGAGAATCGCTTGAACATGGGAGGTGGAGGTTGTGCTATGCCAAGATCACACCATCGAACTCCAGCCTGGGCAACAATAGCAAAACTCCGTCTCAAAAAAAAAAAAAAAAAAAAAGGCAGTGATTTCAGATGCAAGTAAATCAAGGATTGATTTTTGAGAAATACACTACTTAGAGGCTGAAGAGGGATTAATTACTACTTTTAGGAACTCCTCAATCCAGACTTCTTTGTTCCTGTTCCAAAACTATAATCATTGAAAAGAAAGATATGACATCTTTTAGAAGATACAGCCAAAGTTCCTGAGCCAGAAGCAGACACTGACAAATTAGTTCATGGGGGAAAAAAACTGTAGTCTGACCTTAGCATTTTCTCTCAGTTCTAGGATAAACCATTTTTCCTTTAATATCACAAACTATAACAAATAATAATGAGTGCTGTGAAAACAGATTTGATAGTAGGAACAATATACATACATTGATGAGGTGTACCTATATTGAGCTTCCTGCAGATAAACACTCATACCAGGCTTAAAGAGTTCCGCAGTGACTATACTTTGGCAGATCTTAGAGAATGACTTGCATAAAACCGTCAATTCAGTGCTACTTTTGCTATTTTCAGACTGTAAGGTACGTGGTTTAACATGGCCACTTTAACGATGTTTCTCATGAGCTGAAATTGAGTTCTTTTTAAAATTTTTGAGTTTTTGTTGTGTTCCAGGCATTGTGCTAAGTTCTTTAAATGCATTATCTCATTTAATCCTCCCAGCAAGAGCTATACCCATTTTAAAAAGAGGCGAGGACTTGCCCTAGATTATACACCTAGTAAATGGTGGTGTCTGGGCCAAAATGTAGGTCTGTTCACCCAAGCAAAATTTGCTTAGCACTGGAGAGAGCCAAGGCGAATTAACGCGTGGTCCTATGCTGTGCTGTAAATGCTGTGATCGGAGGCGTGCGCAGGCTGCAATAGGAACACAAAGGAGGCTCATCTCATGCTCTCCGAGGCTTTTAGGATAAAATACAAATCCTTTTGCTTAGCACATCATAACCAGCTTCCCCAAGACCCTCGCCCTTTATCCAGCCCCGCTGGCACCCGGTCGTTCTTTCTGCTACAAAGATGCCGATGCTTGGCCATCTCCAGTTTCGAGGAACTCACGTAGGAGACACGCCTTCATTTCCACCTTTGCCAAACCCCGACCCCTTCACACCGCTCCACCGTACTCTAAATCCATGTCCTCCGTTCCAACCCCTAGCCCCTCATCGGCACCTTCTGATTAGGCCCTTTAGACGCGAGGCATGTGAGGCTGCCCGGACTGAGGATGGTGCACCGGAAGTAGCGGCGGCACCGCGTAACGTAGAGAGGAAGTGCCTGATGCCGCGGCCTGTGATTGGGGGTTGCTGGAATCGGTGCTTCACTCTTAAGGTTCCGACCACAGACTGCGGAGTGGGTCTAAGGCTGCAAGGGCTGCTCCAAGTTCTAGCGGGTTTCGACCTGCGTGTCTGGCTCCGCCA